GAACATTTATAAACATTGGTAACACTTGGCTATAAAGCAAGACCCAATAAATTTTAAAGAATAGGTGTCACATAGACATATCCTTTGACAAAAAAATTAAACTGGGAGTTATTAACAAAAAGATAAAGAAAAATGAATTACTTGGGCCGAGCCTGTGGCGCACTCGGGAGGGTGCGGCACTGGGAACGCGGTAGCGCTCCCGCCGCGGGTTCGGATCCTATGTAGGGATAACCAGTGCGCTCACAGCGCTTGCTGGCTGAGTGCAGTGCGGCCGGTCTCAAAAAGGAAAAAAAAAAAAAAGAAAAATGAATTACAAATATGGAAAGGGAGACAATTAGAATAAACCATGTGATGTAGGATTGCAATTGGAGATACTGATGTAAACTCACAATTTTCAATATATAGATAGGCATAGAAATAAATATAGATATAAATGTATGCATATAGTTCTTCAACTGAGAAGTCTTAGGAGCAGCAACATCCCACTAGTAATGAGCTCACCTACGGACCAAATCTTGGTTTCTTACTACCAGTCTCCACTAAAAGGAATCAAGACTCCTTGGAGAAATGACTAGTTCAAGGACGGGTGCAGAGAAAGTATAAGATGAGCCTGGAACGTATTCTGTGCCAGAAAGTAAGAAAGTGCTCAAAGAATGATGGAGACATTTCAAAAGGACCCAGGGGCCAGCTTGTAAGTGCTCTCACTGGCCATATCTGGGATAATTTGAGTATCAAAACAAACAATGTTTCAGTTCACGAGATCATAAAAATTCAAAAAATACCTAACCGGTCACATTTAGATAAATGATTTAAACAAAATCATCTTGAAAATTATTGTAGTGAAAGAATCAAGCATTTATTCTGTCTTTCTGTCTTTCTTATTTTTTTTAATAAAGATGACCGATAAGGGGATCTCAACCCTTGACTAGGTGTTGTCAGCACCACACTCACCCAGTGAGCTAACCGGCCATCGTTATATAGAATCTGAACCCGTGGCCTTGGTGTTATCAGCACCACATCTCCCGAGTGAGCCATGGGCCGGCCCCTATTCTGTCTTTCTTATATGAACTGTAGTACTGGGTAACTAAATAGTAGATGTGGCAAGTGTCTTTATGGAAATATTCAAGCTAATGAATAAAAAAAAATTATAGACTCATAATATCATTATTTTGTAACACCAAATGAATGAAATGAACAGCAGTAATTGATGGCATCACAAAAAAGAGAGACAAACAGACATAATTGATTGAGGTGATAAGACCCTCACCCTAACTGCCTAATAGAAAAAAGGGAGAACATTTTTTGGTGGAAGATAAAATGATATGGATCTCTTCTACAGCTATTCATAATTTTTGGCAAATGACAAAAAAAATTGTAAGATTTGTAGAGACAAAAGAAAACAAGACCAAAATGAAAAAAAAGAAATATATAATAGAAACAGATTCACAGATGATCCAGATATTAGTTAGCATTCAAAAATGTAAAAATAGCTATGATTGAAGTGGCAAGGAAAAATAGAGAAAATGATGGACTTATAGATGAAAATATGGAGAATTTAAACAGATAATTGGAATCTATAAAAAAGGAAAATGTGAATTCTAGAAATGAAAAATATATAAAATCTGAGGTTCAGAACTCAGTGTATGGGTTTCACAGCAGATTGGGTACAGCAAAATTTAGGATTAGTGTACTGGAAGACATCTCCATAGAAAATATTCAAATTACAGCACAGAGATAGAATAATAATGGAAAACAAAAAGAAAGTAGGAAGCATGGGGCATGCTCCAATATCCAGCGTATATATAAACCATATTCTCAGAAGGAGAGAAGAGAGAATATTGGACAAAAGCAATATTCAGAGAAATAATGACTGAGAATTTTCCAAAACAGATGAAAGATGTCAACCCACAAATTCAAGAAGCTCATCAAACCCAATCAGGATAAATGCAAATAAAACCATGTCTAGGCATATCCTAGTAACACTACTGAACACATTAAAAGAAGTCAGAGGAGGAAAAAAAGCTACATTACCTTCAAAGAAACAATGGCATAACTAACAGTTAACTTCTTAAGAAAAACAATGGCAGCCAGAGACAATGAAATAGCATCTTTAATGTTCCAAAAGAAAATAACTGCCAACCTATACCAAAGGAAAAATGCTACAAAAATAAAAGTTTAAAAAAGACAGTTTTACCAAACTGGGTTGGTGGAGGGCCAAGGGCCTCAGCCACATCCCCCTGACATCTGCAACCAGGCCAGCTATGACCACCCAGCTGCCTCAGGAAGTGCCCCAGGCTCCCCTGGTGGGGGGTGAGGTAGGGGGTTGGCCACAGGCCTCAACCAAGCCCTCCCTCCTTCCTACTCCTTCCACCCTATTTCCTCCCCCCTTCTGCGTTCCCCCTCCCAATAACAGCTCCACAACATCTTAGAATGTAAAAAATAATATTAATAAATAAATAAATAAAAATTTTAAAAAGACAGTTTTACCAAAACAATCTCAAAGAAGAATAAAATTAGAGCTCTCACGCTGCCTGATTTCATAACTTACTACAAAGCTACAGTATTTAAAACAGTGTGGTAATGTCATAAAAACAGACATATAGATGAATGGAATAGAATAGAAAGCCCAGAAATAAACTCCACATAAATGATTGAATGATTTTCTACAAGGGTGTCAAGACAATCCAATGGAGAAAGTACAGTCTTTTCAACAAATGGTGGTGGGAAAACTGGATATCTTCATGCAAAAGAATAAAGTTGGACCCTTACCTTACATCATATACAAAAATTAACTCAAATGGGTCAATGACTTAAACATAACAGCTAAAACTGTAAAATTCTTAGAAGAAACCATAAGGGAAAATCTTCATGATATTGCATTTGGCTGTGATTCTTGGATATAACACGAAAAGTATGGGCAACAAAAGAAAAAAATAAATAGGACTACATCAAAATTTAAAACTTTTGTGCATCAAAGGATATTGTTGCAAGACAGACTTGGTTCCTGCCTTTGTGTAACATTTAGTTTAGTAAGGCAGACAGTCTTCAAAAAAATGTGACAAATGCTATAATAGGGGTGTTATAGAATTGAATTATAGAGGATGTGAAACTGCAAAAATCCTCAAGGGGGACCCATAGAGTAGTGCAGTCATTGACAAGCTGGACACGTGGGGCCAGACCCTGAGCAGGTCAGGAAATCATCCTTAACTGTTTTGTTTTTTAAATTTTTTTTATTTTTGCAAGGATGACTATCAACAATCCTTAACTGTTTCAGAGTTGAAGATTCAAATTCCATTCTCTTAAAAAGTGGAATAGTCTGGCCGGTTGGCTCAGTTGGTAGAGTATGGTGCTGACAACATCGGGGTGAAGGGTTTGGATCCCTGTACCAGCTAGCCAACAACAACAACAAAAAAAGTGTGAAGTGGTGAAAATGATTGTGAGGTGGTGGCAATGGTGGTTATTCATTCCAATTTAGTCTAGTTATGTTTCCATTCCCAGAACTTCAGGACATTCCCTATAATATCCTGACATGTCACAAAACTGGGTTTGGGCCATAATCTCAAAAAACAAAATCTCAAATGCCATAATCCCAAATGCTGAAATCCCAAAAGATCAGAATCCCTAAAGTCTAAATCCCAAAAATCATAATCCCTTAAGATCAAAATACCAAAAATATACTTGTGGAAAAAATAATTTAAAAAAATTATTTAAAAGACATTTATTTACATTTTTAAAACGGGGTTTATTTGAGAAACATATAAAAACACAACAGCACGCTTCCTAAGCTACTTCATATAACAAAATAGGCAATAATAACATACATATTTTTTGCAAGCATAAACACTCAGGTGTACTAACAATGGTTGCATGAGTTTAACAGTTATATAACAATTTGCCTTCTGTATTTGCTCTCTCTGGGCCCCTGGCTGATTGGATGCTTCCTGCCAACATTGAGGGCAGATCTTCCCCACCTAGTCCACTCAGACTCACACACCAATCTCCTCTGGAAACACCCTCACAGACAGACCCCAAATAATGCTTTACCAGGTTTCTAGGTATTCTTTAACCGAAAAGGAAGTCCACAAGTCCACCTCTTGTCAACTTGGCACCCGTGTGCATTTCCTTAAACCATACTTAATTTCCAAATAAAGACAATAACAAGGTAATAGTCCTACCTAACATGCTGCAACTAATATGATGCAACTATCCTGTATACAATCAATCCCTAGAATTTGTCTTTCAGGATTTCAACATTTGGGATTTTAATCTTTTAGGATTATAATTTTGGGGATTTTAGACTTTAGGATTTTGATATTTGGAGCTTTGATCTTTCAGAATTTCAGCATTCAGGATTATGGCATTTGGGATTGTGTCTTTCAGGATTATGATCTGCACCACACAAAAACAGTCTGGGTATTACTGACTTCAATGCTTGAACATGAGTGGGAGCTAGATGCTAATTAAACTCAAAATAATAGCCAACCATAGAAAACTGGGCACACTTAATAAAAGATTTTTCATATTATGCTAGACCTGCTTTTAAAAGAGAGAAAAGAAGCTTCCTAAATTTCCTTTGTTTCAGCTTAATTTACGTCTTCTTGTTCTCATCTTAGAACAGAAGACATGCTGGTCACCTTCTTTTGAATACAAGCATTGCATTGTCAGCAGATACTGGTTTGCTTTCTCTGTCATCCTACTTTCAGGCTAGATGGTTCTGGATCCCTTCACTTCTCTTCTTTTAGACTCATGGAATTTGGCTCCCTGCCTGATCTCTGGAACTGGTACCAGCCCTGCTGAAGTGAGCAGGACTGAAGACATGTTGGGACCTGAAACCACATGGGCTCTAAAAGATTTTTAAAAGACACAGGTTTTTTTTTCTTGGCAAGCATTTCTTATGGTTATTTGATATTTTGAACCTTGGTTATGGCAAGATGACATTATTTACATGAATGTAAAGTTGTTTTCCAGCCAGCCTGGAGCTGCAGACTTACATGTACTATCCAGACCCTGGGAAACCAAGGAAGACATCAATAAAGATATGCTGATTCCACCTCTCCTGCAGGACCATGAGATAACACTGAGAACAAGAGCAGAAATCACATGGAGTCTTGGCAAGACTTCGCATCTGAGACCTTGGGAGAAGCTCTCACACCTCACTGCTCACATGCCGCTTCTGCTTTTCATTTCCCACGTGCAATTCCCTCAGCCCCCTCTTAAAAATCCCCTCAGTAAATTGAGTCTTGGAGATGGCTTTAGCCTGGCCTTTCTCCTTCAGGTTTACCAGAGAGAAGGGTGAGCCTAACATCTTTCCTCAGGTCACTGGTATTCCTGAATAAAAGCTGATTTCTATTTTCACCAACATTTGACTTTTGGGTTGTTTAATTTTGTCTGGGCGCAGGCAGCCGGACATGTATGGCTGGTATCAAGTTTTGGGGAGCCTCTGCCAGGAGCTGAGTGTCCCCTGTAATAGCCCTACCAGGGCCTTAATGTAGAGACCTAAAAAGGAGTGAGACAACAGACCAGCCACCACAAGCCACTTCTAGACAAGTATATAGCCTGTTAATTGCTGACTGATTGATTTAAAGGTCACATGGTCAGGGTTTTGGTAGCTAAGAAAAGCCAGCTATCCTACGGGTTTAGGAGGAATCCCAGTAAGCCCACTGCTGTTGCAACTGAGCACCTGCTATTTGTCCAGATAAGTTTCTGAGTGGCCCAAGAGTCATCTGAAATATGAGGTTTCGGGAGGAAGTGGTGTGAGGAAAGTGGAATTAGTATAGTCAGGCCCCCTCGCCTCATATCCGGCTGGGTATAATTCAGCACATCTGTTGTAAATAAGTTATGTAAGAGTAGAGTTAGGGCCGGCCCGTGGCTCACTCGGGAGAGTGCGGTGCTGATAACACCAAGGCCCCGGGTTCGGATCCCATATAGGGATGGCCGGTTCGCTCACTGGCTGAGCGTGGTGCTGACAACACCAAGTCAAGGGTTAAGATCTCCTTACCGGTCATCTTTTAAAAAAAAAAAAAAGAGTAGAGTTAGTGCACATGCGTGCTCGTGTACCCCTTAGTTTGTTGCTGTGTGCTCTTTCAGTATGGAAGGCAGTGACTCTGAACTGCTGGTCGGCAGAGCTTACATCTGAAGAATAAAGCATGTCCACTTTGCCAGTGGCTACTCGGTTTTTCTTTCATTTACCTGACTCAGGACCTGCACAGGCCAGAGTAGAAAGGTTTGTGATCCAGCCCGACAAGTGGCTATTAGAGGAGAAAATGGAATATCTATTTTTGAAGACCAAAAGGTGATACAAAGAGTGCCAGTTGGGTGCATCTCATACAACAATATCCTGACCCTTCCTTTTTTAGGATTTCATTACCTAATAAAATATTTTGTTATTTCAATTAGATGAAAACTTCATGCATTGGTTTGGTTCAAATTAACTTAGCCAATTTTAAAAACAAATTTGATGTGGGCTGAGTAAAAAATTTAAATTTAAGGTATGTAGGGAGAAGTGGTCAGGTAGGGCAATTTATTTGGTTTTAGATTGACGAAAATTCACTCCTTGACCAAATTCTAACCAGGTTCCTCTGAGCCCTCTTCTCAACTAGGTCTCAACCTTGGCCTATAAAAACTTGAACAAACATGAATGAAGCTTCTAATAGCTCAAGGCCACATCCCTAAGATGACCCTAGCCCCCCTTACAGTGCCTGCCTGAGAAAACTCAAAGTTGACAAAAAAAACTTACTGTTTGTCACAACTATTGACCTAAGAAAGAAACAAGCTAAACATATAGAGTTATTTGGGTCAGGGCGTTGCAATAGGAATATACACGTCAGTAAACTATGTGCATGTTCAGGGAGGTAAAGGAAGACAAAGGGCTTTAAAGGAAAAGCGATGGAGGATTACATTGTTTTGAGATAATTATCCTTGGTTACAAGGGTCAATCAAGGGTGACACCAGTCCGAGGTTGTACAGACAGTTGCTGGGCAGATGTCCTTGCTGAAGTATTTTTGTGTAAGGTTTCCATAACCTCTGTGCAAGGTTGTGGTTTTGCAGCGTCCTTTGTGATAACTTTTATCAGGCATTCATGGCCTTCCCTGGCTCTATTTGTCAGGGGTTTTTGTTTGTTTCTTCTGTTTTTTTTTTTTGACACAAGTGACTCCATTTTGATTCAGACAACTTTCACACGTGAGGATAGGGCCTCTGTCTCCCAGTCTCTGTGGGAGCATGGAATGCTAACTTCCGTAATTGCCAGATAGCAGACACAGCTGACCTAATCGTATTTACATGAACTAATCCTTTATATTTTTTCATTTCCCTGACCCTCCTGAGGCGCACCCCCTTACTCTCCTTCATTTTCCCTTTTAAATGCCCCTTTATTTCCCTACAAACCAGAGTTCAGTTCACACTGTTCTTGTCCCTATTGCAACACTTATTACTAATAAAAATCTATCCTTACAGTTTAACTAGTGTCCAGTTTTATCTTTGAGAAGGCTTACCAGTTTGATTGAAGACACTGCTTCCAGCCCCTGCTAGAGTCACATTGAGAAGGGAACCCCTGGAATTTAGTTTCACTCCGACTGTCTCAGTGGAAATTTTCTGTTGCTTAAGAGGTGGGCAAGGGCATTTCACAGAACGGAAACTTTCAGAGACTTATCCAGAGCCCACAGAGAGCGCGTGATCAACCTGAAACATCATACACCACAGAGTATACACAACTATACGATACCTTTTTAATTCCGGGTTTGAAGACTCAGTTCTACCATTAACTGGCTGTGTGATCGGTAAATCACTTCACCACAAGTCTCTGTTTCTTATCTATGATATGGGTCGAATAATGCCTACCACATGGGGCTGCTCTGAGGTGTACAGATGTAAGAGATCCTGGGTCACTGATATTTTCATGTGGGCTTTTTGATAATGATCCAAAAGGGTAAAGAGAATTGCTGACTCCTTGCTCAGGGTCGGTGTCTTGAAGATGCCCCTTCATACCACCCCTCACACCCTCTCCGTCTTCGAACCGTGTGTCAGAACTCTCTGTTCTAGTCTAACCTCTACTGCGATGAGAGGTCGGGCAATTCCAACTCTCCGTTTCGGTTGCCACCTAGGACCACGGTCTGTTCTGCTACGACCTTATAAACATGGCCGCTGGAAGTGGCTCGCAGGAAGAAGAAAGGTGTGGCTCCGAAGGATCACTTCCGCTTCCGTTGGCGCAAGCGCTTTTGTTTCTTCTGATACCGTGACTAAGATGGAATCGTTTTTGGAGTCGCGGTCCGGACTCTGGGCAGGCGGCCCGGCCCCGGGAGAGTTTTACCGCATCCCTTCCACTCCTGGTTCCGTCATGGATCCGGCGTCCGCGCTTTACGGGGGTCCGATCACGCGGACTCAGTAAGTTCTCGGTACCTTAGCCTGCGTGGGGGGAGAGACCGTGGCGCCTGGTGCCGCCGGCCGGTTCTGAGAGCCTGGGAAGGCGAGGCGGGGAGGGGACCCCAGGGGCGCGCGAACGGCAGGGGAGCTCAGAACGCAGAGTCCCCGAGATGGCAGAATTGGAGGGAGACATAGAAAGAGCGGAACCTAATGCACGGAAAGAGGGCGCAGGCTTTTCCGCCGCGCCACTGCTTACCAGATCTTATTCTCTAGGAACCCCATGGTGACCGGGACATCGGTCCTCGGCGTTAAGTTCGAGGGCGGAGTGGTGATTGCAGCGGACATGCTGGGCTCCTATGGCTCCTTGGCTCGTTTCCGCAACATCTCTCGCATTATGCGAGTCAACAACAGCACCATGTTGGGTGCCTCCGGAGACTACGCTGATTTCCAGTATTTGAAGCAAGTTCTCGGCCAGATGGTGTACGTCATCTAGAGAATAGGGAGTAGTTCCCAACTGGGGAGTCCCCTGTTTTTTATCCCCGTAGATGGGATTGGAGCAGGGGGGAACTTGAGGCTGCAGCGGGAACTGGAATTGTCTGGGGTGGAAGATATGAATGTTTGCAATAAATATTTTTAGGCATTAGGGAGTGTAAAATGGGGAACACTGTGGTAACTTCTTTTGGGGCTGGTGGAGATCCCGACTTCCATTCTCTTTCTTTTCTCAAAACCAATTTAAGGATTGACGAGGAGCTGTTGGGAGATGGACACAGCTATAGTCCTAGAGCTATTCATTCATGGCTGACCAGGGCCATGTACAGCCGCCGTTCGAAGATGAACCCTCTGTGGAACACCATGGTCATTGGAGGCTATGCTGATGGAGAAAGGTTAATTTGAATACAAATAACTTATTTCTTTGACCACCCAACCTAGTGCCTGTGTAGTCTCTCTTCTATCTCTACTCTACAACTGAATCCCACTTTTAACTCACAGTTAAGAAACCTAAGATAAAATGAGTTCTTTGACCCGTTGTGTTGTTAGCTTCCTTGGTTACGTGGACATGCTTGGTGTAGCCTATGAAGCCCCTTCGCTGGCCACTGGTTATGGTGCATACTTGGCTCAGGTAAGTGGTGAGTCTAGAAGTTGGGGAGAGGGAAGACAAAAGGAAATGGATTAGTGGTTGTCTGCTTGTTCCTCCCCTAGAATTCTGATGAGGGACAGCCTGGGATCACTACTGCTGGGCAGTTGGTTTTCTTTGTAGTCTGGAGGCTGTAGGTGTTGGCACTTAGATTGCAAAGACAAGGTGGTAGGTCTGGGAGTCAAGATACCTCCGTGTTTTTCCTCCCAACGTCCTTAGCCTCTGCTGCGAGAAATTCTGGAGAAGCAGCCAGTGCTGAGCCAGACTGAGGCTCGAGAGCTAGTAGAACGCTGCATGAGAGTGCTGTACTATCGAGATGCCCGTTCTTACAACCGGGTGAGTAGGGGTGTGAAGAATAAAACTGCTAAGAACCTAACTGGCAGGATCTGGATACTTGCAGCAATCCCTGGGTCTCTGCTTTGAAGAACAGATTGCCTTACCTCTGTGACTCCTTTTTTCAAAGTTGGGAAGACCCTCTACTTGAACTTTGACCAGGCCCTGGGGACTTCATTTGGCATGTGGGCATTTTCACTGAGAGCTCTGTTCTCTTTCAGTTTCAAATCGCCACTGTAACTGAAAAAGGTGTTGAAATAGAGGGACCACTATCTGCAGAGACTAACTGGGATATTGCCCACATGATCAGGTGATTGAAATTAAAACCACAGTAGAAAAAATAGGTAGTGGAAGAGTTGGGAAGCCCCTTGGCTTGAACTAAGTTGGGCTTTTCTGGAAGACTCAACCAGAAAAATAATGGTGGAGAGGGTTTTGGAGGGTAAAATGGTTTCTTAAGAATTGGTCCAGTTATGCTTCTCAATTTTATTATGCTCTTTTTCAGTGGCTTTGAATGAAATACAGAAGCTTTATCCAGAACTGAAATTGTATCCTGTTTTAATTTTGAACTTGGCTGGTTCAAAGATACACTTTTCTTTTGTAAAATAAATCCTTCAAAATGCTTGAGTGGTTTTATTCGTCTGGGTTATACCAAGAGCAAAACTGCTGAGCAAAACTGCTGAGTACTGCCATACGCCACCTCCCTGCCAGGTCAGAGAAGGAATCCTTAGGCTCTTGTGGCAAATAAAGAATTCTCTGCATGACAATGTAGAAGACCCACTACTGTCTTCATTTAGTGCTGAACTAGAGGCAGCCTCGTATAGAAGCCAGACTTAATTTGTGATTAATACAACTGGCTTTTGTATTTAATATTTTTCTTTAACATTTTCCCCTATTCCACTGGATTCTAAAAGAATAGATTTTCTAGTTAATGTTGGCTAAATGTGATTTTCATTAAAACATGAAAGAAAAGCATCTAGTAGAGCTGTGTAAGGTTATACCCTCAACCTGGAATCGACAGCCTCAGTCCCTCACTCATCTAACCTCACCTGTAAACATTTAACTTAAATGTTTATTGTCCAAACCTACAGAATTTCTAGCACTGCAATGTTTCGCAAGTATTGTGTTTGTTAAAAAGTCTTAAGTGCAGCTGTGAGTCAAGTCAGTTGGGATGCCATGTTCCATCCCTAGAATGGTTTTAACCTGAATTTTAAAAATGAGCATGTTAGGTGATTCTGATGCATAGCCTCTCCAAGCCTCTTTTTGGGAAATTGTTATAGGCAGCAAACTCAAACTATGACAGAAATTCAGTGAGGTGAGAGAACTGAGGGAGAAATAAATCATCCCTCCATTGGTATTGTCCATGTTTACAACAAACTAAGCAAAACTATAAGCTTTTGATTCTAAACTTCCACACATCCAGTCTCAACACACAAAGTAGTCAATAAATACATGTTTATTGATTAAACTGAATTATAAAAAAAGCAAAACAAAAAAGTTTTTTTCTACTATTAAGCCATGCAGGTGGCGTCCACGAAGACAACTTCCTGGCCAAAACCCAGCTGGTCCACCACTTTTGGTATGATTAACCCATCAAGAAAGTCAATCAGTGTGCAGAGGCCAGGAACCCAGCTCTGCTAAGGCTGTGGCTGCTGCAGACTACCAAAGAGTAGGATTAGATTGTTGATAGAGGTGACCAATCATAATTCTTTAACTTTCTCAAAGGCAAAGGGTTGACTTGAAAGTCCAGTCTGTCAATAAAATGGCATCAGACAAAAACCTGGGTAAGAGAAGCCCAGGTGGATCCTTAGTTCAATTTTCAGATACCATGGGTTCACAAAGCTGGCCAAGATGTCTAGGAGGGATCGCTCCAGTTCACTATATTATAGTGTGCTGGGGGTTAAACAAAAATCTGGGGGTGGGGGAGGAACAGGCAGTAACAAAAGTCACATCTGTACCACCAGGCCTATCACAGCTTGAGCATTCCCCAGTCTGTGAACACCTAAAAACGGTTACCTAGAAAAAAAAGTTTATAAATCCATTTCCCCTTATTAAATGTTCCACTTATGTACAGTTTAAAGATGAACCATTTACAAGCTTGTGCAGGTTGCCTCCTTGACTCAAAGGAGGGAAACATTGCTGAAAGCCTCAGGATGGACATAATAGTGGTGTAGCTGTGGGAAAAGTGAACTTGGTATTTTGCTCCTTTCTCTGTATGGTACGGTACATTTTGGTTTATAACCATGAGTACATACAATTAAAGAAAAACCTCATGCAAATTGTAGAAAAATTGTTCTTCCCTTGAAACTGGCAGTGAAAAATATTCATGTATTTTTCTTTGTGCGCACCCCAGTGTTTCTTCTTTGTGTCAGATTCTTCTCTAAGCGTTAAGAGAAACAGGGGAAAGCCACAGAGTAACAAGTGGTCTGTCTTTTCTTTTTAAAGTTCAATAATTAACTTCTTGCACAATTAGTTCCTGGCTGTAGGACCCGTGATCTCTTGAACAGGCATGCTCTCCACTTAAGAGGATGAAGTTCAACAAAGCAGGGACTGCCCCTGGGGGCGTGAAGGATGCAGATTCACACTGGGAATGGCCTCCACCCTAACACTGATCACCTCAGTACCTCTTGTTTGCTAATGACACATAGTCCTTTGTCCAGAGTGATGGACAGTGGGAGAATGGGGAAAAGAGCCAAGGATCTCAAGTGCAAAGAATATGGTTTTTATAGTGTTTTTGTTGGAGGGAGAGTAGTGAGAAAAAGGCAAATCTATTCATTCTGGATGATTAAAGGTTTCATGCATTTTTAAAGCCACAATTTTATATCTAGAGTTGCTGTAGAAACCAACATCTCTGGAGAGGGAAGGAAAGAAGAGAAGGAAGAGAGAGAGTTCAGTGGGATTTTTTTTTCCATTTTCATTTTTATATAAAAAGTGTTAAGACCACAATGAAAAAGTTTTTTATCCATATATATAATAAACCAGTTCATGAGCTACATATTTTTGTCTTTCCCATCTTCAGAAATGTTCTCACATTGACAATGATTAGATAGCATCATGCCCAAAGACATTGGCCACACAAACAAAAACCCAGTTACTATGATACAATTGAGGTAAAAGGGGAAACAAAACAATTTAACATTTGCCCACAAAAGATTTTTTTCTTTTTCTTGATTTTGTCATAAAAATACCAAACACGTGATTTAAATTAAAAAAAAAAGTCACAAAAACCTGTTTTTAGCAGAAGTGAATGACCAATGGGCCAGCTCTTCTCGGCTCAGACGTGATCACTATATGTTTTCCTAATAATCC